CTTTTGGCTGCCTTTTCATTTCTGTATGCCATAATTTATTCATAAGAATATTTTTTCTTAGATTGCATATTCAGTGCCATGAATACGACATCGCTTATGTCTTCTTTAAACATTTTATTCGACATATCTTATTACATTTACGCTCATACAATGACTATTTTCTTTCAAATTATTTCTTGGGAACGACGATAAGTCTGTAACCAATTAAATAAAGAATTTTATTGATCATTTTATGATTACGAAACATGCAACAAAATGAAATTATCAGACATTTTAAAGCCAAGACTAACGTAACTGTCAAGAAATACCTGAATTACATGTCAACATTGTTATACATTTTCTGGGTCACGATGAATTGTACACACTTTATTGATTTCTTGTTATTTTGCAAAACGTTAATAGATGCCGTTTTAAGTTTGATAGCATTTCAAGTTGTTTGTTTTAATATGTCTTTTGTTTTAGAGGAGCAGTGAATCTCGTTCCTGTGTTATTTTTAGCTCACCTGACCACGAAGTGGTCATGGTGAGGTATAGTGATGGGGCTATGTCCGGCGTCCGTCGTCGTGCGTTGTGCGTCGTTCGTCGTCAACAATTGGGTTGTTAACAGTCTAGCAGTCACAGTTTTGATTGGATCATCATCAAACTTTGTCAGAATGTTTGTCTCAATGAAATACAGATCGAGTTCGAAGATGGGTTATCTCGGGTCAAAAACTAGGTCAAAGGAGCTAAAAATAGAAAAAGCTTGTTAACACTCTAGAGGCTGCAGTTTTCATCCAAATATTCTGGAAATTTGTCAGGAAGGTTGTTTTGATGATATCTAGGTCAAGTTCGAAGATGGGTCATCTCGGGTCAAAAACTAGGTCACAGGAGCTAAAAATAGAAAAAGCTTGTTAACACTCTAGTGGCTGCAGTTTTCATCCAAATATTCTGGAAATTTGTCAGGAAGGTTGTTTTGACTATATCTAGGTCAAGTTTGAAGATTGGTCATCTCCGGTCAAAAACTAGGTCACAGGAGCTAAAAATAGAAAAAAGCCTGTTAACACTCTGGTGGCTGCAGTTTTCATCCAAATATTCTAGAAATTTGTCAGAAAAGTTGTTTTGATGATTTCTAAGGCAAGTTCGAAGATGGGTCATCTTCGGTCAAAAACTAGGTCACAGGAGCTAAAAATAGAAAAAGCTTGTTAACACTCTAGTGGCTGCAGTTTTCATCCAAACATTCTGGAAATTTGCCAGGAAGGTTGTTTTGATGATTTTTGGGTCAAGTGCTAAGATTGGTCATGTCCGGTCAAAAACTAGGTCACAGGAGCTAAAAATAGAAAAATCTTTTTAACACTCTAGTGGCTGCAGTTTTGATCCAAATTTCCTGGAAATTGGTCAGAAAGGTTGTTTTGATGATTTCTAGGTCAAGTTTGAATATGGGTCGTGTCCGGTCAAAAATTAGGTCACATTGCCCAAATATGGAAAAATCTTTATAACACACTAGAGGTCACATGTTTGACTCAGTTGTCATCAAACTTGGCCATGATGCTTGTTTAAGACATTGCTTGGATGCGATTGTGTCAGGTGAGCGATCCAGGGCCATCATGGCCCTCTTGTTTATTTTGTGATATATTTTACTACTCTTTATATTTATATACATGTAGTATGCTTGCAATATTTGTTTTAAGCAATGTAAAGGATTGTTAAGTTTTGTATCATTAGTTTGATAAACCAGAAATAAATCGTATCATAAAAATGTAGTGTTCAGTATCATTTTCCCTGCGCTGTACATGACATCATCATGATGCTTGAACAAACTCGTTATTCTTTCAGATATGTATTTTTTATCTTTGAAAAAACAAGTACATCACGCTTATTGCTTGTTGTTTAATGAAAAACTGCAGATATGATATGGCGTGCTGTTTAACATAGTTAACCAGTTAACCTTTATAAGAAAGAGACAATCACTTTAATTCTCTGTCTTTACCGAAATAAACACAAATCTATCCAAAGTATGCTGTAATGCAGATGTCCGGTTCAATTTAGCGAAGAAAATCAAGCTTGATTGCTGATATTAACCATTGGATCTTCTAGATTTCATGGGCACAGCACAAGGTAAATAGTAAATTACAATATAAGCAAATCCTGTCATATATTGGGATTTTATTTTCAACTTGTTTATTCACTGACTACGCAACATTACGAGTAAAGAGTTTTATTTTCAGAGTACTCATCAGAAACATTGAAGAAATTAAACACAAAAAGAGATTTTAAGGTAATAAAAATATTTCAATGATGGAGTCCATGTACATATAACAATAAATCAAAACAATAGATTGCAAGTCGTATTAGAAAAACATAATATTTGAAGATACATGTATTTGGATCAGTTTGATTATTGTTTTTGTCTGACACATACGAAATTAAATAGTTTCTGTAAGAACATATGTTGCAATATTCAATACGAGAGTCGGTTCAAATGTAATGAAAAATGGTCAATAAGTAATGTAATAGTTAACAATTTTCTATTTCTGTTTCAAATAATATTCTCCATCGCCATTTGAAGCTCACTCTGATTAAATTAATATATATTATTTGAAACGAAGTAAATTGTTGATTTACAATAAAATCAACTTTATAGGAATAAATAAGGTTACTTTTTTGTGCTGTAACTCATCTGGGAACCAGGAGACATGGTAGCTTAAGTTTAAAATATCCATGCAATATCGAAACGAAACTGTATGTTGAAAGCCTGATGACAATAATAGGTAGTTTGATATAATTTAGTCACTTTTTATTCGAATTGGCTTCAGAAGGAAATTTAATTTAACTTTGATACCTCCCTTTTTACAAAGTGGCTATAGTTTTTTTTATTAATGAATAGTTGCCTTCATTCATGGACAAAACAGTCCTTGGGGATAGACCTTCAAGTTGATCTTGGTTCATAAATGACCTTTACATTCCAGGTCCAGTTATTGATTTTTTAGCTCACCTTGCACATAGTGCGTCCGTCCACATTTTATTCAAAGGATATCTTCTATGATACCACAAGGCCAATGTTAATGAAACTTGGCAGGAATACTCTTTGTATTACGCTCTATCAAGATTGTTCATAGCATTCTATTCCATGCTAAACTTTGGTTGCTTTGGCAACTAAAAGAAAACACTTAAATGTTCTTATACTTCAAAATGGAAAGGGCTAAAGCTTAGATATTTCTCACAAGGCATTAGCTTGTTGGTTTCTACAAAGTATATTCAAATTATGGTCTAGAGTTGAAAATTGGTCTCTGTTTTGGGAGTTAAAGGGGTTTTTTATTGCAAGGTTATATAGACTTTCTTTGTAGGGATAAATTGAGATAGTGTATCTTGTATTTTTTGTCTCAACAGACATTGTTATAAAGATTTTTCTGTTAAAGTATTAGAAAGATGAATAGGTTGTTGAATGTGAATATCAATTCAAAACAGAGTCAATCAGAAAAGCACAAATTTGAGAGCTACAGTGAAGATGATTTCCCTATTCAATAATGGGTTCTTCCATTAATTTCGTAACACCATCACTAAGGAGACTGTGTCATTTCCGAAAAACAATGTAAAATATTTCGGTTCTTGACAATGACTTGCACATTTTATTGTGTAAAATATTTCACAAAGAAACGAAAGTGAACAAAAAATGTTGTTGTTTTTTTCACAAAACTTAGTGATTAAGATAAAAGCTTAATTTACAGTACGGATATTATTTTTATAGCCTTCCGGTTTGCGGGAAAAAATCATACATTTCAAGATACCTTTTTAAGATGAATTTTTTCAATGAATGAAACTTTTATTGAAATTTATGAAAGATTTCGATGAGACAAAATGTGTACATCTATTCTACTTTAAGGACAGAGGCAAAGTGATGTTTTGGGATACGAACGCTGGTATTAGCTTTGCGTATGCAAATGAGTACCAAAATATTTTGGTATGCAAATTAGGTGGTTCGAGGTTACAATATAAAATGAATATGTCATAATATTTCATTCTTAGAACAAACATAGAATTTAAATCAATAAATAATACATTTCAATTAGTCCATTCAACAAATTTGCCTCAGAAAACATCTGTATCAATCTGACCTCGAGATGAGATTATAAATAGAACTAAACCGAGAGTATGACAAAATGGCCACCATGCACAAGAAAATTGACAAATTTGGTAACATTAACTCGTATTTTATAACAAAGAAGTGAAGATGAATACAATTATCGGTGTGCTTCGTTAAAACAGGTATTTTGTTAACTATTTGTGAAATATTAAGGCATGACATTCAGTATTTATGTAAATATCACCTCCCGTGTTATGATTTCTAAAATTATACATGTACACATGTGATATTGACCTCAATAAATGTAAGCGAAAATGGAACAATTATTATGGTAATTATCCATTGTAATTATCTTTATCATTGTAACCCCTTTTGCTAACCAATATAAGTATTAGGATACATCACTGCCTGACTAATAACGCATCTCACTCCGACTCAGTTGGATGTTATAGTTCACGTTCACAGAAACATAAAAAGATACTTCTTATTTTTAATCAATGCAAGTGAAATAAAATAAACAAATCATGATAAGTATCAAATGATATTGAATTTGTTCTCATCGCCATATGAAGCTCACACTGATTATATTACGCTTATACCTTTTAGTGTAAAATTGAAACGAAGAACAATAACTACAAAATCAACTTTTTAGGAATACATGTATGTAAATAACTTTCAAAGTAACGATCAATATTAAGAGCACAATCAATAAATCGTCCATTTTTTTCAAGTCTTTGAATTTTCATCATATTGTATAAGTAAGATCCCTTTTTGAATTAAAGTTAATGCTAGTATTTGAGCAAAGGTATGAGAAAATATTTGATTTGTTCCTTTGTGAATACGGTTTTAGGATTTTAATCATAATAGGCTATAACGTTGAATATTGCAATTACCTAAACATGGGCCATTGGGAGTAATACAATGAACACCACATGTACATGACAAAATGGTATATTTACATAGGTGAATATTTCAAACACAAAATTGAAAAAGAAATATACAAAAAGATTAAATCAAAATGGAAATAAAAACGTAGAGACTTAAGGAATATCTAGTCCCTAGGAAAACAGTGACACGAAAAATTTGATAATCATTAGGTTATATAAACGAATATTTGTGATAAGCGTAGTTGTTTATTCTCAGGTATACATAGTTTTTGCTTGTTCTATGCATATTTAGGATTTCAGCTGATCTCCACAATCGATTGGATGTTGGTCATTTCACACGCACATTTTGACATTCTTAAGTGATTTCAAATCATGGCATAATGCATATGTTCTGATTCATAGAACGATTGCACCATTTAAAATGATAACGAAGTAAGTGATAATATATATCAAAAACAAAACTTCTGAATACTTTTTGATAGGCATTTAACAATAATAAACATATACCTGTTTAAATATCAAGAAAAAACAAACACAAGACTACATTTTAGAACAGCGTTTCATCAACGTTATAAAAGTCAGATTTTTTTTATAATAGCAGAGAAGGTAATGCTCCACATGAAAATGTCTTGAATCTTAGCGAAGTTTTGTTATGTTAAAGTCACACGGTATGGAACTTGTACAAAGCAGTCCTCCTGCTGTATTGATCTCCTCTTGTACCTTTCATGCTTACTTTATATCCTTTTTTAGGTGTTGTTACTTTGCCTGTAAACATAGTACCTTGCTTCATAAGTGATGTATCTCCTACCTTAATTTATTGAAGATAGGGTGCTGAGATACGAAACTTAATTTCAGTGTTACAAGGGAGGTATCCCCTGAGAGGCTCATGCAATATGCATTTTTCAACGGACGCTGCTTCATATTCAAGTGGGTATTCATGGGATTCGTCTGAAACTTCAGTACATTCGAAATTGTACTCCACTACCTGTGGTATGCTTTCATCTCTATCATCCGAAGCAAATTTTCCAAATATGGTTAACTCGTACATACCCGGCTTTCATGGATGAACATTATTATGAAATCTTTAATAATATACTTCTCAGAAGCTATAATGACTACATTCAGGTATCACTGGAACCTATGCCTAATCAAATGTTACTTATACTTATATAGATTTATATTAACTATATTGTCCAATATTGCATTAAACTAACATGGGCTACAGGGATTAATAAATTAAAACGTCACATGAATGAGTCAATTTCCTATTACTAAATTATATATTTGTGTAATAAAGTTGAATAATTGCAAACACAAAATTGAAAAAGAAATAAACAAAATGATAAAATGCAATGGAAATTATAGCTTTGAAACATATGAATACAAAAGTATATAGTATCCTTGGAAACAATGAAATTAAAAGTTCGATAAAATACACCAGGTTAATGCAAGATATATGATAATATGTTTAAGTAGCGTCGTTATTTATTCTCATAGTATACATGTTTTTCTTGCCTTTGCTAAGCTTATATAGAATTTCAATTGATCTTCAGAATTTTACTAGATGTAGGTCATTTAACCGTCACATTTTAACGTTCATCATTTAATGTAAATTATGGCATACTGTATATAAGCTGAATGATTGTACCAATTATACTGTAAGTATAAGTAAGTGATAATATTTCATTGTAAACAATACTTCTGAATACTTATTGATAAGCATTTAATTATAACAAAAATATATATTTATTTAAATCCAAAGAAAGAAACAGGACAATTGATGAGAACAAGGTCTCATAAACACACAGAAAGTCAGATTGTCTATCATAGTTAAGAAAGCAATTTCCCACATTAAACTGTTTTGTATCTTAGAAATGTTATGTACTGTTGAAGTCACACTGTATAGAAATTGTACAAGCTGCTGTATTCATCGCCCCTTGTACCGTACATGTTTACTTGATATCCTTTTTCTGGTGTAGTTACTTTGCCTGTAAACATAGTGCCTTGCTTCATAAGGGATGTACCTCCTACCTTAATGACTTGTAGATGTGGTGCTGAGATACGAAACTGAATTTCAGTTTTAGAAGGGAGGTTTCCCCTGCGAGGCTCATGCAAAATACATTTTTCAACAAACGCTGGTCTATATTTACGTGGGTATTCATGGGTTTCGTCTGTAACTTCAGTACATTTGAAACTGTATTTCAATACCTGTGGTATGTTTTCTTCTCTATCATCCGAAGCAAGTTTACCATATATGGTTAACTCATACATACCTGGCTTTTGTGGATGAACTAAAATCTTGCAAACATCATTTTCATGATAGCCAAATGTTGCATTTCTTTGTTCTTTTAACCAGTTACCTTCTTTATACATTAATCTGGAAATGCACGTGATATCTTCTTTTCCATGACTTTTGAAAGTCATCTGCAATTCATTTTTCATTTCAAAATATGCTGTTGTATGACTTACTGCCTGCACTCCTATTTTGAAAGCCTCTGGACTGTAATTTATGCTTTTATTAAACTCTTCCAGGCTTATAGGTTTAGATAACAATTGCCATTTCTGACTTTCTTCCAAATTATTATCCATGTATGGAAAATGAGCTGAAACGAAGTGCTTTGGATCTGTAAGGAAGTAGAAATCGTCAAACTCCTTTTTAAAGTCATTTGTTTCACTATCAAAGTGACCTGAACCAATTGTACAGTCTACAAGGTACCATTGCCCTTCAAGTTGGACGGCATTCCAAGCATGATTTGTTTTCGAGTTTAAAGTGAGTTGTTTTGATGGTGAATAGCCATAGCATTTGGCAAATCCAGACAGTTTCTTTACAGGAATTCCAGCTTTGCTGTGAAAAGAAATATATTATATTGTAAATTTAAACATGAATTAAATGATTACTTAAAAGATCTGCAGGAATGACTGCTTATATCTTAAATCTAAGCTAAAGTCCAGAAATTGTGTCAGTGAAAACCTTAAGGAAATGGGAAAATCACCAAATTTGGTACAAATAGGGAATAACAGAATCCCTAAGAACCCTCAAAACGACGAAATTGGAAATGTTGCAGACTCGGTTTGATTGATCCTGTTCATGGACGGTACATTATGTAATAGAAAATGCAAGTTACCGTTGTAACAAGTACGTAGAACATATAAGCCGAAAAATGTCCAATATGTAAAAAATTGAATTTCATGGGGCGCGTAGCGCCGGAGGGAATTCAATATTTTACTTATCAGTCAGTTTTAGTCTTATATTTTAGTTAGATAACTACTTATACGTACACATATCGTATTATATATCAAAAATTAGAAATAATGTATTTTTGTGCAAGACGTAATATTATACAATCTTCATATTTTAGAAATTATCTGTTTTACTTACAAAACCCTGTAAGTAGCCTCTTGATTGATGAGACGTCCGTGGCATGAAATTTTCGTGTTTTGGAATATGACCAATTACTGAGCGTTTAAGATAACTATTTAGTGACGCGGTGGTCAAGTCAACAATAACTGTGTAAAACAGTTATCATATTGTGTTTAATATGTTAAGTCAAGCAGGCTTGCCATATAAAGTACAATATTGACAAATGTACCAACTGTCGGTGTAACGCAGTAGGTAAAGTTGTGTGGTAATTTTTTAGTTACATATCAATGCAAGATAGCCGGGTTCGATCCTAAAAAAATCTGTATGATTATCGAGTAAGAATACATTTGTTCTTGTAAAGATTATTAGTGCAGTGTTATTTTCTATTAACTTCTCATTTCACTTTTGTTTTTAAATGTTGCTATATTTGGCAAGTTGGTGCAACCTGATACGGAATGCATACATGTACACATTCAGTCAAATTGTTTCAATTACATGTATAGTAAAGTTGGCACGAAAAACTTGTGCACTGCCCCTTAGTACTATGATTAGTATATATTACACACTACACATGATAAAAATCCCAGTATATCTAAATTATTCGATATTATAACAAAAATATATTCCAATTTATTTGCAGCTAAATGTAAAACGTGGAAAGAAAAAAGAAAAAAAAGGTTAGACAACTTGTGATGCTCGAACTTATGATAAAATTTAATTTGTATGTCATCCTATTGACTTAATCAACTTTGCCATGGAGACTTTTCAAATTCCATTGCTTATCTTTAATCATATTCATTTTTAAATACCCTATTTTACCTTTTTAGACAAAGGTTGTAAACGTTTGTGTACACAAAAAATGTACATTAACACAATGATATACACAAAATATACCAGTTACACAAAATGATGGACTTACACGCATACAGTAGACATCAATTTACATTGGGTATTTTTACAAGAAATAGAATAGTAAAAATACTATGCTCATCTTTGAGTAAATATTTTAATCGAAGAAATTTATTAAAACCTATGAAATTCTTACCGAATATGTCTGATTTAGATAAAAAAAAAGAATAATAAACGATATTGGAAGTCACGTTCTCTGATACAGGACAAGTAAAGTTGGTCTTTTCTTAAAAATAACTGCCAGTTTTTTAAGAGTTTTAAATATGACATTTGTGTGACTTTTTGTGAAGTCAAAACATGTTTATTTCATATTTACAAATAGACTGTGTAGCAGTTATCAATATTTTTTGATATCGAATTTGAGCATAGCATATCTTTAAACATATTACTTGTCTTAAAATTGTAAAATACGTTAACATGACAAACCGTTTAAAATGGCAAAACTGAAAATATTGAAAATATTGCCGGCTTGTAGTGAGTAAATCTGTTTATTAACGGTTGTGAAAGTGCGAGCACAACAGCTAAATGGTGAGCTTTTAACTTTTGAAGTATTAGTAGATGTGCATTGATATGACATGTTCATACTATTCGATAAAAACTGCATATGGACCCAAATTAAAAGAATGCATGTGTCCTTAACGAGAAATTTTGAAAATGTTGTTTGGTAAAACTCTGCTTTTTAGTACTTGGAATTTTTTTTCAGTTCTTCTCCTTCTAAGTCATTTCCAGTTAGATGCCTACATGACGTGACCAACAAGTGCTAATAAGGGTAATGAACATGCTGTATTGTTGGTTTCGGCTTTAAACACCCTTTCAATGCTAGTTTTATTTACATGTGTATCTTGTTGTTTTGTCTGGCTTGATTAATTTTTTCTCATCAGGTCCGTTTTGTATAATACATTTAGCAATGCTACAAATAACTGTCATGGCAACCATTTTAGCATATATGAAATTTATCTCAGGCCAAATATGTTCTTTTTGTTTGTCTTTGCATTCGTGCCAAAGTTTGGTGCTTTTCCCATTACTTGAAGAATATTGTCTTTTCCGTGACCAATTAACTAGACTTGAGATACACTCTTCTATATAATTCTATACATATGATACAAGTAGTAAGTAGAAAAGTTTTTAAGCATTGCATTATTTGTTGAAGAAGATACTTTTGTTTATACATGACAATTGTGATTATTTTTGTAGTAATAGTTGCTGTAATTGTTTTCATTAAACTCACCTGCATAATAACTCAAACACCCTGGCATAGCCTCCGCACACACTTCTGCCATTCTTCATCACTGATTCGGGATCATTTGGAGCTTTCTCCGCTCTTCCAAAATAACCGTCAGCATCATATCTAGAACAGATATTAAAGAAATTCTTTTTAACTATAACTTTTTTTTATGATAGAAATAATTGAAATATTTGAAAGATTATGATTATTTTGCTTTGTTATCGATATGTCCAATCTGTGGAATACATTGGCCTGGTAATAATGACTTTTAATAGATATTCTGACGATGAAGAGCATGCTACGTAAATAGAAATGTACATGTGCTTATAATACCAAAATATATAATGTTGCTTAATTATTGTGAATAATTTATCCTTTAGTTGTTCGTAAAATTCGGTTATTATCCGTCATGAACCGAATCTGCAATTTTCATGTAATTTTGTTGTGATTAATTCTTCCGAGGGATCACATTTTCTCCAAATTTTATAATTGACAAAAATTCTGAATAGACAAAAAAGATGTTGATGTGGAATATGGAAAATTGATACGAACAACAACCGTCCTATATATTATACTTTCGGAATTGTAATATTTATAAGATTCTAAACAGTTGATATTTACAACTTTGTTAGATCAACAAAATCATTTAGAGTAATCATTATCAAATTTGTAAAGTTTTACTCTATATTCTCGGAGCTCCAAACAAAAAAACCTCGAGCCAGCATTCTTGGATCTTTCGAAACTGATGACAAATATGCTACAAGATCTCCTGCAGAATTCCTCAAATGGCTTGGTGCCTATTTATGAAAATAATCATTCAATATTTAACAAATAAAAGAGAAAAAACAGAATCCCTTAAAAAAGCCTGTACTTGGCAAAACTGAAAAATTAAAAATGTTGGACGGTCGATTTGATTCAGTCTGTTCAGGGACGGTAGTGGTAATTGCGAGTTATCGTCCACACCCATAGCACCGGCTTACTCGGAACTCAACACATTTAATATGAACTGGAAATTTTTTGAATTTTGAAACCTCTGCAATTGTGTTAATATGGCAGTTATCATGGAAATCTTCAATTGGAAATGTTAATGCCATTCCATGAAAAGCTGCATATGGTTCCCAAGGAAAAAGCGCATTTCCTAAAGGAAAACATTCGCATCTCTGTTTATTGATTATAACTGTTTTGTTCAATTTTCAACTGACTCGTTATAGTTTAATGTATTATAAAATATTAACATAGAGTATGTGATGTAAATAATAATATATTCATGTACTATTCGTTCCTCATATATATGCTAATTAGTGTTCGATCTGCGGGTGAGGCGAAATTGAATCGTGACAGTTGATCGCAGACACTAGGTCGAATAGCCATTTGTCTCTCACCGCTAAGTTAGAAATTGGTTATTGCTTTTTATTTATCCAGAAAAGCGTTTTAGTTGACCGACCACCAGGATGTGACCAATGTTTGAAAAGCGTCGTCAAACCAGACAAACCAAAGAAAAACCATATAAGACTTGTTAGAGTTGATCATTCATATAGAATACTTAACCATTTAAGTCAAAATTAAAGAATACACCTGTTACTAAGCACAGACTTGTATAATTAGAATAAAGTGTACCATATATAAATCAAACCAACCTTTCTTGCATGTTGATCTATTTTTTGGTAATCGTTTTGCTCTTTCGCGCTGTTTTGATTCGTGTTCGAAGCTTCATTTGTGTCTTTTTGGCTAATCGGTTTCGCAGGATCATTAACAGTTTCTGGCTTAGAATTTCCACGGTCCATATTCAGCACCTGTTACGAATATGTGTATAATATTAAATCATGAAATTTTAAAAATGTATTTTTAAGTAAAATTGTGTGAGTTTACCAAAAGGAAGCAATATAGATTTAAAAAGCAGCACTCAAAACCAACGTAATTCGCCAAAATGAGGTCAACATTTTCCAAAATAGCCTTTACTACGTTGTAATATAGTGGAGATATTGTTATAAATACTGAAAAATCAATCATTAATCACACATAACATATAACTTATTAATCAAATCTTGAATCTTTTTACTTTTGTACATTTTCTCAGGTTTGATTTCATTGAAATATGTTTGCGGATCTGAAAGCAAGCATGCAGCTCTGTTCCAACTGCTATTATTTTTCTTCCTCCCCTATTTAAAAATTTTTTCAAAAAGTTTTTTGTTTTTAATATTTTTTTGTTATTTTTATTGCATTTTTTTTTATGGGGTCACAATTTTAAAAATCTAATTTGTACAATGTAAATCTTTATTGTTATCCCCAAAATTTTTTATTTCACTTAACTGTAATTTCGAAAAATTCCCCATTATTTTTATCATTATTCGCACTCCATTATTCATTTCTGATACTTTCAGCAAGATTTCTATTTAAAAATATGTGTGATAATAAATACTGCCGAGAGACGGCATATAGTAATCACTCTGTCTGTCCGTCCTTCTTTCCGTCCGATAACCTTGTAAGCGCTTCATCTCTAAAACTGCTGAGGGAATTTCAATGAAATTTTACAGGAGTGCTCGTCACATTGCCTAGTTATGCATAGTATCCTGATTATCCGCTTGAATTCTTTTGGAACAGTTATGGCCCCTAAATTGTCAATTTTAGAGTAAAAATAGCTTGTCCGCGCTTCATCACCAAACCCGATGGTGCACTTCAGTGAAACTTGACATTTTTTGTCATGATGCTTAGTTGTGCATACTCGAATATTGATATTCTGCTTCACTTTTTTGGCACAGTTTCGCTAGGTAATGGTTATTTTCGAGTATAATAAGCTTCTTTAGGTGATATCTCCAAAATAGCTGGGAGATTTCATTGAAACTTCACACGATGGTTTGTCACCATGCCTAGTTATGCATAGTATCTTTATTTTCAGCTTGAATGTTTTGGCACACATATGGACCCTTAATGGCCTTTTTTTTTTAGTAAAATTAGCCTGTCCGCGCTTGATCACCAAAACGGTTTGGAATTTGAGTAAAACTTCAGAAAATGTTTGTCACCAAGCCTAGTTGTGCATAGTATTTTGATTTTTCAGTAAATTAACTTTGTCCATCCTTTTCAAAAACCACTTGGGAAAATTGCAGTGAACATTTATAAATTTGTTTGCATAGTGTCATGATTTTTCAAGCTTAGTTGTGCATTGTGCCATGCCTTTATGCATGTTATTTTCGCACAGGAATGGGCCCTAGATTTGAATTTTTTAAGTTAAATTTGTTTAGACTGTTTCTTCTACACTTCTAGTGGAATTTCAATTAAATTGTAGGAACGATATTTATCAAAGGTCGTCGGGCGTATATTTCTGGTAATTTGGCATATATTGCGGATTTATGTCAAAGCGTCTTATTGGGGACGTAAGTCACTTTTCAGTGACAGCTCTTGCTTCTTCTAAACATGCAAAGTGAATTGAACTCTTTTTCTTTTATTATTTTCAGAAAAATATATACAAGCAAAACTTAAGAATGCTATTTATACAATTGTAATACCATTTATTATTGTAATAATTATGAACCCGAGCGAAAGAATATCATCAAGTCAAAACCGTTAACAATACTTAAATGTTATAAAATTGTACTTACTCACTTAATTATCTTAATAAATTAAGCCATAATATCCAAAATTTGAAGTCTTGAGTTTGGTTAATTTTGTCAAAGACTGACAAAAAAACAATGAAGACAGATATAAGACAGTATATGAATATGTTCTGAATTATTAAATTACTAAAGCGAAATATTTATGTTTTTTAACAAAGATAAGCTAATAAAATGTTCTTTTTATATCGAAATCTGTACCCAACACTGTTTACTATTCACCTTTTAAAGTTTAAAAATAAAGCTCAATTCTTGAAATACAAAAATAAATCAATTTCCGATTTATAAACTCTTTCCCGGTGCGTTTGCTATGTGTTATTATATGATATTTTTATCATTCAACTAGAAAAAAACCCACATTATTCAAACGATTTTGTGTTTTAATTGATAACTGTTTTGACATGTATATGTTAGAACAGGCCAGCATTTTATTAACTCGCTATTTTGAATATATACTGAAGTGTCTTGTTTGATGGATATCATAAAATGGCAATTTTATTTCACTTAAAAGGTATTTCAAAAGTTTTTTGTTATTCAAGAATCACTGACAACAAATGCATTCCTTATTATGCTTACATTATGTAGAGACTATCACTTTGTTTATTTTGGACGAACCAGTTACTCTGCTGTTTATGTATCGGTTAAAGTTTATTAGTACGTATATACAAAATTATATTGGTCAGACGCGACACGGCCGCGCGACTAATTTCATTTTGTCAATACGTATTTATAAATTTTAACCAGCATAGTGTTTTACATTATTTTCATAAACAGTCGATTTATTAGACCGATTCACAGTTTGCCGAATTACTAAAACAACTGTGTTACGATTAATTTGAAAAACTGCAATACTATTGGACAAAAATAATTTTAAACACTAAGGGGTAAATAGCAGTAATTTATCAAGAGACCGGTAGTTTCTGTTATTCAAGTTTAATCGCAGTTATAAAGGGGCAACCACAAAGCTAAATCAATTTAAAGTTTAAGTTCTTATTCAGATTTTATTTTATGTTCAAAAACATGAGTCTAGCGTTTCTTCAAATAATCATTTGATGTATTTATTATTTTAACACATTTAACATTTACTAAGCATGTACGTGCATATATTACTATAAATACAACACAAAGCTTTTATGAAACAAAAGTAAGTATGAAAATATGTGACTATGAAAGGGCAATTGACATGACGCCGCCTGTCAATCAAACTGGCAGGGGTCTTACAGATAAGCCAATCGGCGATCGTTATCAGTTTCACGCTAAGATGTCCGAGAAGTCCGCCATTTTCCTTATACAAGCTATTTGTATAAGACAATGGTGCAGCGGTATTTTTATTGAAATTATTTTGGTGCAGCAGTATTTATATTAAAATTATTTAGATTTTTTGTCAATTTAAAGTTATTAAAACGGTATATCTCAGTTACAAAATATCCTGACATATTGACAGATAAAGTCAGTTAGTTCATTTTACAAAAACAAAAATATCAGTAACTTTCTATGTATGAAGATAATAAGTTATATAGCAGGTACGAAAGTAAAAACTGGCTATACCACATTGCATTAAACAAGGAAAAAATTTAAACAAATACTCTATTCCTTCCCTCTTTACAATTATGTCAATTCATAATCACATAATGTATTATAAGGTCTCAGAATATCCAGATGATATGACTTTTTTTGGTCGTTTACAACATAGTGTCAATAAAATGTTGCAGTAGAAGAAAGTACTTGCAAATAAAATGAGAAAATATGCAATGAATATTTTAGGTGAAATTATCCTAGCTAAATATTTCGTTTAAAGCTCAATGAATTAAGATTAAGTATTTAAATACATCTGCTTCAATAACATCATATCTGATCACGGTTTTAATTTAAAGCCTAAGTCTGGTATATGCGAAACTTATTTTAAATTAATATAGCGTTTTATCACGAAAATATCAAATGTACAAATATACATATAATCATAATTATATCATACAACAAAGTTACGCAAGGGCAATTTTCTCATTTAATTTAGACAACTTATGCACAAATACATTACATACGAGTATAAGTGATTTCGTACATAAAACCCCAAAAACATTTGCAAATGTTACTGTTTTATTGATATTATCTATTATATGTTCCGCTACATCAATTTTAACTATCTTTGAATTTGTAAACTAAAATGATATTTTGTCAGTAACCTTGAAGTCAGCGAGAAATATAACAAGGTCTTTGCCAAACGTTTTATTCATAATCAATGTGTGAATTCAGTTATTTGTTACATCTTTAAATAACATAATACATTGAACAATTCAATAAAAGCATTAAAATTTTATATATACCAAATTATATAACTGTAAATTCTTTAGTCACTTAAGTGGCATGACAGTTTCGCGTAAACGTCGGTACCGTCTTTTGTCTAAGGTTCTGAATGACCGGGTCACGTGAATCAGGGGGCGGAGCAATCTCTTCTCTGGCGTACTGTCAATTAAAGTGGAGGCATGGGTGTCTTATTGACACATTTCTAGTTACTTTATTTTTTATGTTTTTTCTCTTATATTTTTGCTAATTTTTCTCTAAGTCAACAGCTACAGACTTGATAATAATGTTTTTTGAAAACTTACCAATTGTTAATGCGTTCAAGCGTTAAAAGTCAATCGATAATCAGCCGTGTAATAATTTGACACAATTTATCACAATTTGTCGTAAATGATGCATCTTTGAATTTTATTATAAGTGTGTATTGTATATAACCATATAAGTATGGAAATATGATCTTTTTATTACATTTACCTATAGATGTACGCTCTGCTTACAGGTCTCATATAATTCTAGTATAATGAATGGCGTATATACTTATACCAGTGTAATTCATTTTGATTGTGATATATGTGTTGTACATGTGACGAGACGAAAATAAACTATTTGAATTGAATTGAATTGAATAGAATAATAATGTTAAGAATTATAATTATGTAAAGAAATGAGTTGGAAGTTATGTCTTTTATAGGGCAATAAACTTACTCGTTCATCCGCATTTGCGCCCCTTTATGTACTTTTCGTACCCGAAACGTTTTAAAAGCATAATTGAAATCTGTATTTAAACTCGAAATATATTTTAAGCTCATTTAAAGACAGGAAAACATCTAGTTTTAATACCGCGAACTATTATTATATTATAAGTTTATAACATTTAAATTCTTGTTATTTACCTTTAGTCCCACAAAGGGTATAACCTCGCACATATCAGAGGATATATCTAGCGCTAGACTAATGTCCACGATTGCAGACTCTCTCTTTGGCTTATAACTTTGTCTCCATCAAGATCGGACATGATCACATACATCACCAACGTCAATTGTTTTTGTTTAGGTTAAATGTCATATGGCAGGTGCAACCGTGTCATATAAACACATTTCTAGTTTAATATTGTATAGACCTTTTCTAACTTTCCATCCTTTTTATCTCATAATCATTAGACTTTCAAAACTTGTATTTGGATCAATTTTCAAAAATTTTAAATGCATCAAATCTACATGTACATTTATAAAAATCGAAAGGTAAATATCATTTAAATATAAATTTTACTTACCTGTATCTCAGTTATTCACGACTGATCACTTATATTAGACTCTTCCGAAATGAAGAGTTCTCCCATATATAAATAAACTTAGTCTATATGAATAAGTGTCGTATTTCGTAACGATTAGATCAGATCGTTAAGTGTTTTTTCTCTTCCAAAAATAGTATGGCAAACATATTTACAACTCGCCTTTTTGATACCTTATTTATTATACATTATAAGGATAAGGCGTTTGTTTTCAGGACTGAATCATAATGTTAAAACGATCGACACCGACTGTTTTTTTTTAAATCATTGACACAAAATAAATGCAGGGTTGAAATGTAAAATGTATTTACTGATTTTGCAAATAAATCGTAGAAATGCATCGTTAATATCCACTTTTATTTTAAAAATGGAACGCAGAAATTTAACGCAACGTTCATCCATTGTTTTCATAAACAATAAATTCATTAAGAAAGAAGTTGTGGGTCAGGTTATTTGGCATAGTTTCGTCATTGTCCGTTTAGGACTACTAATTAATCACTTGTTTAATTTGTAATAACAAATGCATGTACATTTGTATTAAAAAAACAGCTACATGATATTTTTGTAAGAAGAGCTCACAAGGGAACCGTTTCATCAATTTTGTTTTTGTTGTACTCATAGATGTGATATTACAATATAGACAGCACAGTTGTCGATTTTAATCATAGTTATTTTGGACTCAACAGTTAGTTGTTATGTTAAATGACAGAAATGTTTTGTCTGTATTTGTCATGCTTAGTTCTCGTTTAGTATGCAGATTACATAGATTGATTGTAATAGTAGTGAGCCAGTGACCAATATGTTGCTTTCTAAAAATTTAGGTTTGTTAGGGAATTTTTTAAAAGAATACCCAAGTTAGGTGCCCCATAGTTTAAAATTGATCTAATGATTGATTTACTGATCGTCTTGTTAAGCCCAGAACTAATCTGTTTATTAACGAATATTTTTTAAATACCCTTAGCATACGCACTTGATATAAAGATATAGATGTTGGTACTTAAGTTTGTTGATTTCTATGATAAGCTTTTATAAATTAAATTTAGTCATTGGATTTTTGAAAATATTTTCCTTTTATAATTGAATTTTTATTTGTGTCTGAAAAAATGTAGTTTTTATGTACATCCGGAGACGCCAGATGGGAACATTGTTACATAGGGGGAATAACCCTGACACAAATATATCGTCGCAACAATTTAAAGTTATGGGTGAAAATGATTTTTCAATAAGTTGGATTGTTTAGATAAAGAAACATATTTAGTCCCATGTTAAATTTATAAAGATGAATATAATTTGGTTTCAACATATTTTTTATTCAAAGGTAATATATACATGTTAATAATTTATAATGAAAGGAAGTGGACCGAGAGCTACAATAGCTCATGGTAGTCCTCTCCTTTATTTTTTAATGAATTGATGATATTTAATTTTCAATAATATCAAACCACCGTGTTAAAATTATACAGGATTATTATCATGTTTAAACATGATATGATAACTTAATTATTATATAATAAATATACAAATGTATATTGATATTGTATTTTTGACCAATGTGTCTCAAATGATACGTGCAGAGATGGTCACATGTACTTAAAGTGATTGTACTTGAAAACGTTGTCTTCTCTTTTGGCATATTTACATTATAAAGTGTTTTTGCTATGATGGCTGTCGTTGTAGTTTTAATATGATTTTAAATGGTGAAGAATATAAACACGTACCATCCGCCACTTAACGATATAAACAGTAATTACATAGTGGTACTCTAAACTCACACGATGTTTTATCTGAAAGAGATAAATAACTAAAATTTCCATAAATGTGTCACACCGTTTATTTGCGATTTGAGCTCCTGTGATATTAATTTTAGCTTGGCATGGTTAAGATCATGCAAAAAAAATTATAAATTTGATTTAAAAAGTTTTTTTCAATTCGCTTACTAGTATAATCAAAGCACTGAATGTACTGATGGGGAGGCTATGAGAGAATGTTTCAGACTTATAGTTTCTTTTCTTTTTGGCTTAAAAATATGCTACAAAATAAAAAGATATGCACATTGCGCTATTTATCCTTACTGTTGTGTTCAACCATTCATATATATGGTTAATGTGGTTGACTATTCATTTTGTTAATATTCCAGAACATTTCATTGAGGTCTACATTCGGACTGTTAATCATGCAAATTTTTTTGAAAAACCTAAACTGTCAATAATAAATGACATACCAGCAAGTATGACGACTGTTCATTATCAGATAACAATAAATTTTACAACTGACGGTTCCTTATCAAATATTTCTAGGACTGTTCATCCATAAAAAATTACTTTTTTTTTCAATTTTAAAAATTTTTGAATGAAAAATAACAATGAAAATGCAAATTTTTATTTAAAAATAAAAAATTTTCACATTTGAAAGTACCATAATTAAATAATAAGATACTTCTTTTTATGATATTATATTCAGCTCTACGGACAGAAGGTTGTTTTTCCAGAACAAACTCGAATAAAAACACGTTTCAGAAAAAAATTTTTCCCATTTCGTTACTGCGGCGTCGGATAATATTAAACTAAATATTTCTTGAAAAATAAAATCTGCAAAACTTATTTTAAACTGAAACAACCTAAGGAAAAATTTATCGGAAGTTATATCTTTTTTTTACCGCCAACACTCAACCAAACTTATGGTATTTTAACGTGTTCTACGTGTA